GCCCCCTGGGAAGGATAGTTGCTGGCCCCTATATAATGATTTTGATACAGGGATATAATTTCTAATTAGTGGGGTAATAGCTGAACTTGATGGACGCAAGTCTCTTTTCAGCTACGTAACTATATAAGTAACACCCAGCACGCTGGATAAGAATATTTGCTTTGAGCTACAGTTTAAAGTAAGTAAGGATACTGATGGCAGTGGAATGTGCTTTGTGGCCATGAGCCCCACATTAGTATTAAGGGGCCTGGTATTTGAGTCCCCTAAGGAAAAATGTTTGTTTTATATGATCAGCAACAAAATTAAAACCACTGAGAGGTGAAGTAATAACATTGATTTTATCTTTCCAATGGCACCTGTCTAGGGTGGGATATCGTAGCCAGGAGGTGAACAGTCAGTTCTTGAAACGTATGCGTTGGAAGCAGGAAAAAAATTGGCAAGAGTAAAGATCTGAGTTACTTTGACTATGGCCAAATTGTGATGGCTAGACGACTAGGTCAGAAAGAAACGACAACAGGCTCATTGATGCACATGGCGAGCGAAGGCTAGGCCGTCTTGTCCAATCACGCAATTGCTGAAAAACATAATTATGGCCATGATAGCAACGTGTCAGAACACACAATGCATCACAGTTTACTGCGTGTAGGGCTGCATAGCCGCAGACTGGTCAGAGTGCACATGATGTCCCCTATCTACTGCCGAGTGCACATTCAATGGTGACATGAGCATCAGAATTGGACCTTGGAGCAAAGGAAGAAGGTTGCCTGGTCTGATGAATAATGTTTTTTTTTAGATTAGGTGGATGGCCAGTTGCATCGTTTACTTAATGAAGCGATGAAAGCAGGGTGCACTATGGGCCAGCTAAGAAAGTATTATGCTCTGTGCAATGTTCTGCTAGGAATGCTTGGGTCCTGGCATTTATGTGGATGTTACTTTGACACGTACAACCTACATAGAGATTGTTGTAGACCACGTACACCCCTGCATGGACATGATGGCAGGGGCCTCTATCAACAGGATAAAGCACACCTCAAAAATTGTTCAGGAATGGTTTGAGGTGTTTCCTTGGACTCCAAATTCTCTAGATCTCAATATTATCGAGCATCTGTGGGATGTGCTGTGACAACAAATCCAATCCATTGTGGCCCCACCTCGTAACTTGCAGGGCTTAAAGGATCTGCTGCTTATATCTTGACGAGGTCTTGTGGAGTGCATGCCTCAACCCAACAGAGCTGTTTTGGCAGTAAGAGCAGGACCCACACGATATTAGGCATGTAGTTTTAATGTTGTGGCTGCTCAGTGTATATGTACAATCCAATATAACTAATGTGCAAGAAAATGTTTGATTTCTTCAGACAGACAAACATAAAACTCTGTATGTTCAATACATGATCTTTTTTTTATTATTAATTATTACTTTTCAGTAATTCAATTTTTTCAGTATATGCATCTAATACATAATTCGCTAGTTTTCATTTTTTTAAAAAAAAATTCACATTACTTTATATATATATACACATTTTATCGTCTTGTTGCTATGTTCAAATAGTTATATAAAATATAATGCACTATTACATTTACTATATAGTACAACAGTTATTACACATTTTAACTTGATAAGTTTAATTTGAATATGATAAAAAAAATATATAAAATTAATAAAGTAGGATCACTCATTTGGTGAAGCCAATTAGTCTCAACCTCACTATACACACACTACCCTGCTAATCATAATTCTGTTACATATTAGCTTTGTCAATTATTTTTTAATAAATCCATGCTATTGAGTGACATAATATTTTTATAACAGTATTCGTAAACAGTAAACATTTTATTATAATTATGTCATATTTACAAATCACTTTATGGCATCTCTCAACATCTTTACAACTAGGACATACTTAAAACATCTGCTCTTTCTGATAGCATATAAAATAGATTTACTTTGATTTTGTTAGATTAGTGTTTGAAATGTTAGAAATTATAAATATTAAAAAATTTGTTTAAATATTAAATATTTTAGATAAAAAATTTCAACAACATTTATAAAAAAAAAAGACAACGCATTTGTAAGATTATATTTAATTGATCTACCTTTCACAACGCATTTCATTACTTAAAAATGCTCATCTGTCGATCACATAGAGCACTAACACATTAAAAGCACATATAGAGTAACTTTATAACAGGGTGTAATTAGGGACAAATATAGACAAATACAAACAACGTTACCCTTGAATACAAATTTTCCTCATCTCTGTCCCAACATGGAGTGTCCTCCCATGTATTTAATTGTCCCCTGTTGTTCTTCTGCAAGCAGGCGGTGTGTGTCTCAAATTGCAGCTGTTGCTGAACATGCAACCTTGTCCCAAGGAAGGGGAATATGATCTTCTTCTACAGCGTGTTATCTAATTCCTAATGGATTCTTACATGTATTAAATCTATGAATTACTCTGCAAAGTTCACTCTTGCTACAGTCATCATCAAGCCTTGATATATTTATAAAATATAATTTAGGAGGTAAATCACTTTGTTTATATAGCCCTAGCCACACCTCCCTGCATGTAACTTACACAGCCATCCAAGCACTTCCTGTAAAGATTCATCTAATGTATACACTTCCTATTACATATTGCACAGTCTGTTTAATTTAGAATCTCTTATCTCCTGCTCTGTTATTAGCTTGTTACTTTTCGCAGGACCCACCTGTATGTAATTAAAGTTTACAGAGCAGGTGATAAAAACTTCACAAGTAACAAAGAAACAAATGATGACAAACCTCACATGAGAGTTTATTAGAATAACCACTAATTAATTATTGTTGGTAACAGAAAGAGGTTTAAAAATACTTTCTTGGTGTTAATAAGAAACCATTTATTTGATTAAAAAATAAAAAAAGTTAAAAAAGTGAAGAGTAAATTTAAAAGAACAGGGGAACAAATGTAAGGAATGAGGAACGAATAATAAATCTTTATTACAAGTTATAGATACATTTATTTCCTGCAGCCCTTCTTCTATTGAGTGACTACTTTTCTGGGTGATTTAATTTGATAACACTCCAAATAGTTTTCATTTAACTCACTACTTCTTCCCTAAACTGTGGAGTGATACTTGATATAGTGTTGCAATATAGCAATCTAGACATACCGTGTTTCCCCCAAAATAAGACATCCCATGACAATAAGCCCTAGGAGCATCGTCTGTTAATTTTCAGGCAATGCTCCTAATATAAGCCCTACCCTGAAAATAAGCCTAAACCATTCGCTAATCTATATTCTGGGAATTTTCCCCGAACATAGATTTGCGGAATTCCATACGCGAGTAAGCTTATCTATGTTCGGGGAAGTTTCCCGGAACATAGCTACCCAAGATTCCATTCGCGAGTGAACTAATCTATGTTTGGGAAGTTTCCCCCAAACATAGATTTGCAGTATTCTGTTAGCAAGTAAACTAATCTCTGTTGGGGAAAGTTTCCCTGAACATATATTTGCTGGATTCCGTGCCTAGTGAGTTGATCTATGTTCGGGGGAATTCCCCCGAACATAGATCTGCATTCTAGTACACATTTTTCCCCGAAATAAGACCTCCCCTGAAAAATAAGCCATAGTGTGTTTTTCGGGTGAAAAATTAAAATAAGACCCGGTCTTATTTTCGGGGAAGCACGGTAGTATATAACAAAGATGCTCTTTTTGTAAACAGAAGGCAATACTAATACCTATCTATAATTTATAATGAGGATTTAATTTGTATGATTCGTTACTCATTCCTTAGTTACATTTTTTCCCTATTCTTTTACATTTGCACTTCACTTATTTCACTTTGCAAACAAGAATGATTTTTAATTAGTGGTAATATTAGTGAAGTTAGACCCACTCTTTTGTGTGGCTTTTCTTCATTTGTTTCTTTATTACGTTCACATTCAATGATGCCCAAATTACCTCCCTAACCTATTTGAGCAATAGAGTAAGACTTCATATCTTACATCTGGAGCTGTCTTTCTTCTTTCTAACATCTAAAGTAAGTTAACATCTGATTGAAAGTAAAACCATTTTGTTTTCATGCAGGCTGTGTAAGTCACAGCCAAGAGAGGTGTGATAAGGGCTGCATAAACAGAAACAAAGTGATTTAGCTCCTAATTGGCAGAGAATTGATCAGTGGAACTGCAGGGGCACCAAAACAGCTTCATTAAGCAAATGTTGTTTTAGTAACTGCAGTGTCCCTTTAATAAGATTGCTATGTTGACTTTTACAAGCTGGTGCGATAATCCACCAGTACATTTTCTGTGCAGTGTACTGACATTTCTTGAGTTCGGGATGGTCACAGGTACTTTTTTTCACCCACAGCATTAAACAATATATCTTCTCAGTGTGCGGGTCATCTTTGGACGTTGTACTCAAAATAATGATGGAGATGATCTACAAAATATCACATGTTCTGGATTATTCTATACATGGAATCTAGAACTTTTGAAGTGATCCATACCAAAATGTGTAACATTTTCATCACATACAAAGACCCAGACCCAAGATGGTCTAATGGCTTGAGATCCTCCTGCCTCTATGAATTATAGTCAACTATGGACACTGACGGTTTCAGTCACATGATGCCTCTAAGTTTCCACAGACTCTGTGAGGTGATATGTATGTATTACATATTTATTGCAGTTTCACCCATGCAGTTCAGCACAATTTGACTCGTTACGTGTATGTTAAAAGTCTGCAAGTTGCAAATATGTGTGTTAAGCAATAAGACATAGCCTCTGTATGCAAGTTGCAAAATCGTTCTCTTAATATTGATCCATCTCTATTTTGGATGTAAACATATATTCCTGTGCACAGATGTTTAGGACACGGCAATGTTTTTCTCAAAAACTCAATTCTGGAATGTAAGTCAGTGATAAAAGTGAGGAATAGAACCGCGATGTTTATACAAAAGTCAGTGCATTACTCTAAGATACATAGTGATGGTGGCAGCTAACATTGATTCATTTCATGGTTTTATTATTCTACTTTAAACATTTCCTTCAAACTTTCCAGAGCCTCCTCTCGAGTAATGGTTTTCCATTCTTCCAAAATATGAGCAGGTTTAGCTCCATACTCCTCTGCAAACTGACTGTTAAACTCTTTGAAGACAAATTTCCAGTAGGCAGCAGAACTCGTTTCATGTTCTATTTCCCAATCGGGATAGATTTTCTGATAATCACTGTAAAAGCAGAATTCTCCCTTTGTCTCCCTGTTTTTAAATTTTCTTTTGGTAATTATATCAGCAGAGCATGTGGCATTGCACAGCATTTCACCAACCACCCATCTGTGTCTTGCTAGTCCTTTTTGACGATGGACAGATGCCCGATGTGTATCATGATCACCACCTCCAGCCTCACATGGGACCTTACAGAATGGACACTGTTTCCCACATCCAACCACACGTTTAAAGAGAACCTCCTTAGCATTTAGGGTGGGATTGGAAAGAAAAGACTCTGTATTCAGATCTTTCAAGTCTGTAATTATTTGCCCTTCCATTTCTGTTAAAAACTCATCAATGTCATTAGAAAATTGGAGAACATTTGTACAATTTTCATTGTTGAAGATTGTAGTTTTTACATCATTCGGTGAAATCACCAGCTCTTTATTTAATTCCTTGCATACCTGACCTAAAAATTCTTCCAGATTTGAACATTCTAAAGCAGTTGTAATCTTAAGAGCCTTCCTGATTTTTTTGTAGATCAAAGAGACAATTTTGGCAATAATTTTTTCAAAGTGGGTAAAGTTTTCATATTTAATTGATATGTTTTCTGAAATCCATTTTCTGGCAAAACTCTCGAACCTGTGAATATATTCTAGATATAGCTTGAAGTCATTCTTTTCTAGTAATTCCTTGAGGACGTGGTATTGGAAGATACTGCGACTTTTATACTTTGAGGAGTCATCGCTGTCCAACATGTCATCCACCATCTCTCCACCTAGGTTTTTATTGATGTAGTCAATAATTGCCGGCTTTAGACACGATTCACAGAAGCGTTTTGCACAATCTTTAGAGGCATTTTGTTGCAGAACTATATTGCTAAAACAGGAAGAGTAGCGAGCTTTTAGATTGCTGAGAATGTGTTTTGGGTCATTTTCTTGGATAAAGTCATTGTGCATCTTCTGAAATTGCACCACTGCTTTCCCCAGGATATGAAGCTTCAGGTCCAGCTTAAACAAGGGTTTAGTGCAAAGCTTATCAGCAACAGTTGGCGTTAACCTTTCATTGATCATATTCAACAAATCCCTGCAGTAGATTTCATTGTAATCTTCTTTTGTGATAACTTTTTGGGTGACAAAATAATGACAGCTGTCAATCAAGGATGCAGCAAAATCATTTGCCTCATTTTTATAATTTATTTGCTCGAACTCAGAAAACTCTTTTAATGTCAACCAATCATAGTCCATGTGCTCTGCAGAAATGTGAAAAAGGTCTGCCTCATCTTTTAAATGAATTACACGGTCTAATCTCTGACTTATCGAACTTCCTTTGTTCCCCATCTCGGTCTTCAGTTGCTTCAGCATTTCCTGTTCAATATTACGCCTAGTTGGAGGACGGTACATTAATGCTGGTATCATTTCTTCCCACATAGTTTCAAATACCTTCATTGCCTCAATGGGGTCCATACCTTGTTTACATTTTTCTAAAAGAATGCTCACTTGCTCCTCAATATTCTTGATGTACATTCTTTCAATACGTTGTAATTCTTCCTTTCCTTTTTGTATCTGTATAACTTCCAGACATTTTTGTAAAAGAGATGTTTCAATTTTCATCCTGAGACCTTTTATTCCAAATAAGTACTGGGTTTCGTATTGCTGTATGAGCGTTGGGTTTTCACAGCCATTTTTAAAATAGGTTTCTAACAAATCATGCATTTTTTGTTCCTCCCTTTCTAGTAAACAATCCATTTCAGGTTTTATGTTTTTAGCTAATTGGTTATCTAGATCTTCGATCGGCAGGTTCTTGATAAGATTTTCGGTTTCGATCATCCATTTCTGCATTACTTTCCGGAAATCCCATTCTAACTCAGAATAGTTTTTCGTGAGGTTGTCATAAGCTTCAGCAACGAGAATATTTCTGAAACTGAAAATAAACTTCTCATGTTTGACTTCCATCCACAGGTTGTTTAACCATTTGATAAATGTTGCGATATCTTGTGGCTTCGACAATTTATTTGATTTGTTTTTTTTCATAAAGTTGAACAAATATCGTTTGAATTTGCAAATATTTTCACTGTACCCAGAATTTACTGAGGCCATGGGTGGTACCCCGTGCCAAAGGCTAGGAATATACCAGCTGTGCTCCTCAAGATTATACTCAATGATATCAGAGAAAGATTTAGCTCGATTAGTCTCCATCTTTGCTGCTTTTTCAGTCATTTTATTTAGTTCTTCCACTAGTTTTATTCTTTCAATCATAGTGTTATCAGGAGCCGACACGTCACTCACATTCTGATGAGCAAACTGGCAGTTGGGTTTCTTTCCTGCTTTTGTCATCCTAAGAAATGCGTGGACCACAATCTGTAGAATATCCTTCATTTCCGCAGTGCTTTCCATGGCCATGTTAATTATGGCGATGTCGCTCAACCCAACCGCAAGTGTTGCCAGCTCATTGTCATTTTCATAATTTTGATCATCAGAAGTTGATACAGAATTTTTAAACCCTTCAGTGTCAATCACCAGAATAAAGTCACAGCCCAGATCTTCATGGAAGTCTTTTTTCACATTAATTAGTGTCATGAAAGCTCCTCGGGTGCATTGTCCACTGGCCACCGGGAACTGCAAACCAAACATGGTGTTCAGAAGGGTGGATTTCCCCGTACTCTGAACTCCCAGCACAGTGATCACTCTCATTCTGCATTGTCCTCCTGTCTTGGTGTCTAGCTCGGTCAGAACATCAGTTATCCACTGCAAAGGAATATTAGACGCTTCTCCATCGATCAGCTCAAGTGGGAACCCATCCAGCAGGAGATCAGCAGCTATTCCTGGGAGATGACTGAATCGTCTTTGGTCTGTTTTAATGTCTCCTTCTTTCACTATTGCACATTCTGATTCATAAAACTGCCCTAATTCACGCAGAAAATGTTCAATTCCCAAGGAACTTTCAGATTTTTGCTGGTTTAATTCCTTTACTTCCTCTGGTGACATATTTTTCAAGTTATGCTTGTATTGTGCACGAAGTTTAGCCAGGTTATCTCTTCCAATGGCATCGAGGTAACATTTCATCCATTTCACAAAATAATTTTTCTCCACCTCAGATAAGGTGGTGATAGCGGAAGAAAACTTGATCAAAGAATCTGTCATCTTGTACTGACTCTGCTCCCTGCGCAGTTTTAAACACTTTTCTTTAAGTTCTGATTGGTAGCTTTCAGAATCTTTCTCACCCTGGTTTTTTCTTCTACACATTTCTTTTTCTGTTTGTGATATCTCCTTCCATAGATTTCCCTGCAGCCTCATTGTTTCCTTCTTCCACTGTGTTACATCTTTTATTCCCTTTGTGATTTCCAGCGCATGTTTCTTTGCTTTCTGACATTCTTCTGAATTCTCATCTGTCTGTATCCCAAATTCAGCAGATCTTTGAGCGATGTTCTCCAGATCAATTGCTTTTCCAGGTTGTTTTGTAATATCTGCGATGATATTCTGTAGCTTTATTACTAACTCTGTGACATTTGATTGACTGTTTTTTACTAAGACATGTGATTTGTCTAGTTTTAGTATTGGAAATAACTGGTTCAGATATTTGGCTGTCTTTGTTTTATCCTCTTTGTTTGGTGTATTGTCGATGATGAAGTAATAACTTGAGTCTGTTCCCCTGAGATCTGCTAACATATTGAATTCTCTTTCACTTATTTTCTCAGTAAATATAAATACAGCCGATGAAATGTTTGTTAAAAGTCTGAACTGTTTCAAGTTACATTTCAGATCTCCGCGCAGATTGGTCACAGCAATAGGACCCGGAAATATATTATCATTTTGTTTTGGAAAGTACCAGGATATTTCCACCAATCCATCGGATATTTTCCGAGGAACATTTGCGCCCTCCATGTCTCGATGCACAAAGAATTCGTGAGCATTATGAGCTGGACTGAGAATACTATTTAGGATTTTAGATTTTGAAAAGTCAAAATCTCCCAGCCTGACAAATGAGAAGGTCGGCATCTTGATGGTCACCACATTTTTTTCCACAAAACTAGTACTGCCTTCTGATGATTGCGTTCCCCACCTCTTCACAATGTCTCTCATTGCCCATAGCATGAAGGTGCAGTTAGAGCCATCCCCAACAGGGAGCAGCAGAGGGACAGCAAACTGGCACATGGACATCTTGGTTACAATTTCCTGTTGTAAGAAATGGTCTGAACAAGTCAGGACAGCACATAGAACATCCAGGGGGTGGATACCGGATGTGTTTGTTTCAGTAATAGGTAGGAAAACGGAATATGGATCTTGATCTTCATTACTGTCTTCTCCTTCCATATTAACAAACTTTTGGTTAAATCGTGTGTTCCTTGCAGTCACATTAAGTGCCATGAGTTTCTGTAGGAAGTGCCAGGGGAGATCTTTTATGGACTGAAGGTCCACGTCCTTCACACTCTCACATCCAACATCGATGATGTCCTTTAGTCTGAGTTTTGAGATTCTGTGCTTGTCAATTTTCAGCTCAGACAACATTTTAGGCAATGCCTCTATATTCTCTGTAAAAATAAGCAATTCTAACTCAGCAGGTCTGAATTTATCCGTGTAACATGTATAAACAAATATATGCCAAATATAATATAAATGGATATTACAATCCTATTATTCAAATCTAAACAATAGCACTGATCTTCTTAGAGGGGCACTGCAGACCCCTAGAGCACTTTATCTTGCTTAAAAGCTTTATATGTGAAGAGTGTGTCCTTTTTTGTTCTTTTCGCAAAAGCTGCAGATTTCAATCAAAACTGACATTTTTATAAATAACCCTTGTTGCACCCTCCTGGCTGTCAATCAGACAATTGGTCCTGTTACTTCCTGGTTTGTTTAGCTCAGTGGAGATAAACTCAAGAGGCAGCAATTGCCCAGGAAAAGAAGAGTCAACATTGTCACTTATAAATACAACACTCAACAGTCTCAAGAACAAACTTACATTGATACACATCAATATATGTCTCCAAAACCACAACGAAAAGAACTGCTACTATTCACACACTAAAAAGTAGAACCAAAAAACAGACCGACAATTGAAACACCAATATCACCAAATGAGCTGATCAAACAATATAGCTTTTTTACTTTTTATCGAATTATGTACCAGACGAGGATGATCATTTTTCAGAGGTCAACTCCAACTCATATAGATCTCACCTTATAGGTAAAAAAAGAGAAGCCTATCACTCGAGGAAGAAGGAGAGAGAGAAGATACCAAAAAAGGAAGGATACAATAACCACGCACCAACATCTGATCTAAGATTCAGGTATCTTCAACTTATTTAGTAAAATCTTAAATGCTACAGAGGCGGCTGATTTAAGTAGAGGACTTTTTTTTTCGCAGTACATCTTGGACTGGAACAGAGAGACTCTGGTTTGGGTGTTTGAGCTGCCTTCAGCTGTAGACACTAGAAACCTATACTGTATAAATTTATAAAAGTACCAATTTCTTTTGAAATATACACTTTTTGTAAAATTAAAAAAGAGAGGACACAATCTTCACATATAAAGCACTTCATTAAAATAAACTGCTTTAGGCATCTAGGTGTCCCTTTAAGATGGATTGCTTAAAGTGCAGAATATGGTCCTTTTTGACAAACCATTATTGTTAAAAGTTAAAAGACAAAAATATATGATTGTAATAGTGTTGACAATCACAAACACACACCCCACCACTGACACAAATAGACCATTCACACAAACTGATTTATCCAATCTCTGCAATCACACAGACCGACAAACATACAAACACACTGAATTCACACATGCTGACCTTACACAAAAGACAACCATGGATGCACATACATTAACACTTAAAGGGTTACTCCAACTTTTTTTTTAAATAAAACACTGTTTTTGCTTTAGTAACCATTGATAACATGTCCCTCCCCCAGAAAATAACATAATATAAAGTAAAAACTAACCTACAATCCCATGCTAAGGCCAAGTTCTCTACAGTCCTCAATACTGAGAAGTTACTCCCCCTTGCTCCCAAGGACAGGCTGAGAGAAGGACTTGGGCAGCATATAGTCATGTTGCCACTGGTTGTCTTTTATCAGCATGTTTTGCGTGCCTGTGTCAGGGACCAAATATGCACAGATTTAAAGGGACACTATAGTCACCAAAACAACTTTAGTTTAATGAAGCAGTTTGGGTGTATAGATCATGTCTAGGGTTGTATAAACAAAGTGATTTAACTCCTAAATGGCCAAGAATTGAGCAGTGAGACTGCCGGGGTGCCGGGGTGTGATCTATACACCAAAACAGCATCATTAAGTTAAAGTTGTTCTGGTGACTATAGTGTCCCTTTTTACATTAGTCAGCCCAGATCTCTCGTTCCGGTGCTCTGTCAGATTCAGTGGCCATCAGATTATGTTTCTCAGGCTCCGACTTCACTGTTTCAACACAGTATGCTACTGCTTTTCCCTCTCTGCTCCCTCACTACTAGAGTCCTAACTTATGGACTTGTGGAGGTTGAATAGCAAAATATTAAATCATTTGTATTTAGTAATACGTGTGATTTATGAGCTGTAAGCCATAATCATCGCACTTATGACAAATCACGGCTTGAACTATCTTGCTTTGCATGTAATGCGTCTATCTCCTGTATTAGTTTCCCCTTTTACGTTGCATTACTGAAATAAATTAACTTTTGCACGATATTTTTAATAATAATTTTTCGAGTATCACCTGTATGTTTGTTTCAAATTTGTGTCGATTCAAAATGGAGGTGACATTTTTTGTTTTAAAGCTGCCCCTTCCATCCCTTATTTGATTGCGTTCCTACACCCATTTAGATAACTATTATAGCTTATAATAGTTAAACATGTTACATATAATGCAGTAACTTCATGTGATGAGACAGAAAAAAGGCAAAATAAAAGGAAAAAGTATAAAAAAAAAAAGAAAAGGACTAATTAGAATTTAAGCTAATTCCTAAGACCCTAAATAAGCCTGAAACGTTGTAATGTCTCACATATTGATAGTTACATCAGGTAACCCGAGATATTGGAAATCCCCAAATATGCCAACTAGAAAATAAATGATATTATTGATTAAGGAAAATTAAGGTTATGAACTGGTAATTAGGCAATCGTCTGCAATGTATGTGCAACTGGGACAACTGTGGGATTCTTGGGAAAATAGTGATAAAGAAAGATAGAACACTTCGTAAATAATCTATATACTTTCCTTGTGACAATATCTATGAATGTTATATGGTGGAGTACTGCCACCTCTTTTTTTCTGAAAAAAAATTATATTGTATGTTTGTCATGAAAAATATGTTTACCTTCAATATCTGGAAACGGGCTTTTGTCACTCACATGTCCTACAAGAGCATATTATTTCTACTATGAGAATCCCGGGGATCCTAGCTCTCTATTGGTGCGGTAGCTTCATATTAAATTAATTTCACTCATTGGCCACAAGAGGGCAGAAGAAGGAGAAGGACAGAGACCACAAATTCTGCTTTGGTATGGACCTGCACATGTTTTAAAAAGATAATTTATGGTACACATCTCAAAATTCTATAGAATTATAACGTAATCAACTTAAATTAACTCAACTAAAGGTATACTGTCATCAGTGCACGGAAACCTTCTTCATCCCAAATGCCACCAGCTTGTGTAAATTAATAATAATCCGCTTGTATAGAGTGTAGTCAACCAATTGATCCCAGTTTTCACCAGTGTTCTTGCCTATATTAGGTGTGAATGTCTGGTCTGTATTGTGTGTGAATGTCTGTTCTGTATTAGGTGTGAATATCTGTTCTGTATTATGAGTGAATACATGTTCTGAATTATGTGTGATTGTCTGTTCTGTATTATGTGTGAATGTCTGTTCTGTATTACGTGTGAATGTCTGTTATGAATTATGTGTGATTGTCTGTTCTGTATTATGTGTGAATGTCTGTTCTGTATTATGTGTGAATGTCTGTTATGAATTATGTGTGACTGTCTGTTCTGTATTATGTGTGATTGTCTGTTTTGTAATATGTGTGAATGCCTGTTCTGTGTTATGTGTGAATGTCTGTTCTGTTATTATGTGTGATTGTCTGTTCTGTATTATGTGTGAATGCCTGTTCTGTTATTATGTGTGAATGTCTGTTCTGTTATTATGTGTGAATGTCTGTTCTGTATTATGTGTGAATGTCTGTTATGAATTATGTGTGATTGTCTGTTCTGTTATTATGTGTGAATACATGTTCTGTATTATGTGTGAATGTCTGTTCTGTATTATGTGTGAATGTCTGTTATGAATTATGTGTGATTGTCTGTTCTGTTATTATGTGTGAATGCCTGTTCTGTATTATGTGTGATTGTCTGTTCTGTATTATGTGTGAATATCTGTTCTGTATTATGTGTGAATGTCTGTTCTGTATTATGTGTGATTGTCTGTTCTGTATTATGTATTATGTGTGATTGTCTGTTCTGTATTATGTGTGAATATCTGTTCTGTATTATGTGTGAATGTCTGTTCTCTATTATGTGTGATTGTCTGTTCTGTATTATGTGTGAATGTCTGTTTTGTATTAGGTGTGAATATCTGTTCTGTATTATGTGTGAATGTCTGTTCTGTTATTATGTGTGAATGTCTGTTAAGTTATTATGTGTGAATGCCTGTTCTGTATTAGGTGTGAATGTCTGTTCTGTATTATGTGTGATTGTCTGTTCTGTTATTATGTGTGAATGTCTGTTCTGTATTATGTGTGAATATCTGTTCTGTATTAGGTGTGAATATCTGTTCTGTATTATGTGTGAATGTCTGTTCTGTATTATGTGTGATGTGTGTTTGTCTGTTCTGTATTATGTGTGATTGTCTGTTCTGTATTATGTGTGAATGTCTGTTCTGTATTATGTGTGAATATCTGTTCTGTTATGTGTGATTGTCTGTTCTGTTATTATGTGTGAATGCCTGTTCTGTTATTATGTGTGAATGTCTGTTCTGTTATTATGTGTGATTGTCTGTTCTGTTATTATGTGTGAATGCCTGTTCTGTTATTATGTGTGAATGTCTGTTCTGTTATTATGTGTGATTGTCTGTTCTGTATTAGGTGTGAATGTCTTTTCTGTATTATGTGTGAATGTCTGTTCTGTTATTATGTGTGATTGTCTGTTCTGTTATTATGTGTGAATGTCTGTTCTGTTATTATGTGTGATTGTCTGTTCTGTATTATGTGTGAATTCCCTTGCTGTTATTATGTGTGAATGCATGTTCTGTATTATGTGTGAATACATAGTTACTTAGTTACATAGCTGAAAAGTGATTTGTATCCATCAAGTTCAGCCTACCTCACATATGGTTTTGCTGTTGATCCAAAAGAAGGCAAAAAAACCCAGTCTGAAGTGCTTCCAATTTTGCCACAAACTAGGAAAAAATTCCTTCTTGACCCCAGAATGGCTGTCAGATGTCTCTTTTGATCAAGCAGCTATTACCCCACTAATTAGAAATTATATCCCTGTATGTTATGTTTCTGGAAGTAT